AAGTGACAGATGTTAAAATTTAATTAGGTCCAAGTTCTTTGTTTCTATTTTTCCTCCAGTGGTACTTCGTAGGTAGTGGTGTGTTATATGAAAGAATGATAAAGCTGGTTTTCTCTCTAGTGACATGAAGAGTGCCCAAGGGATTCATGTGGTGTTGGCATGGTTGTGACTCCACCCTTCCTGCTGAAGCAGTGCACGGTCAGCTCCTGGCTGCAGGCTGGTCGCACTAGGACTACTTGAAAAATACCAGTTGTAGGTCCTTCTCTAGGTGGAGGGAATCAGGAGCTTTGAGTGCAACACTGGCAACAGTATTCCTTTGTATTAGAGATGAAACATTTGTACATCGTTATGGAACTTGCTGCATCTACACAGCGTATAATATAGGATAATAAAACATTTCTATCTCTTTAAATACTAATCACTTTATGTGTGGAGAATTTTACCTGGCTGGGTATGGTGGCACACACCTTTAATTCCAGCACTCAGGAGGCAGAGACAGGCAAATCTTTGAGAGTTTAAGGCCAGCCTGGTCTACAGAGCGACTTCCAGGACAGCCAAAACAAAAACAAACAAACAAAAAACTTTTTACCCAATCAGTTGCAGCATTGACATGAATTAACTTCTGGATTTTTGGTTCTGTTGCACTTGTCTCTGTGATGTTTGCATTACAGTAGCTGTGTAATACACAGATGGATTTTGTTGGCTTGTTTGGGTTGAGAATATGGCCTTATGTCTCTTAGGTTGGCCTTTAACACGTTCTTTCATCAATATATCAGTTTTCCCTGTATACATTTCTCACTTCATGGTTAAACTTACTCTAAATATTTTATTTTTGTGGCTTGTGTGAATGGGTTGAACTCTTCGTTTTCTTTCCAGCAGTTTCATTTATGGCCGATATTTGAAATCCCAGAGCACATCAAGATGAGGTAGGAGAGTGCAAGTTTGGTGTCAGCCATGGCTGTCTACTGCGTTCAAGGGCGTCGGCGTCCATGGATGCACAAAGAAAGCCTGATTTTTGATGTTTAATTCATAATCTACAGCTTTGCTAGATTTATGTATCTACTCGAACAATTTTTTTGATGGGAAATTTGGATTTTTCTCTATATAAAGTCATGTCATATGCAAATATGGATAATTTATCTTCTTTTTTTCCAGTTTAGATATTCTGGTTTCTCTTTCTTTGTACTCACGCTAAGGCTTCCCAGTGCTGTATTAAATAAGAGTGGTGAGAACAGATGCCTTTGTGGTTTGCAGTTTTAGAAGAGACATTTGTAGTTTCCTTCGTCAGTGTCATATTGGCTGTGGGTTGTACACTTAGTCTTTAGTAGTTGAGGATTTTATTCTATATATGACCTGATAAGAGTTTTTTGCCGTGAAAAAAATGTATCTTACTGCATACTCTCTCTCTCTATGGAGATGATAATATACTATAATCCTCAATTCTGGTGATGTGTTATATGCTTATTAATTTGTGTATGTTGACCCATCCTTGAATCTCACTTTATCATAAAGTGTGATCTTTTTCATATACCAATAAATATATTGAGAATTTTTGCAGTTATGTTTATCCAGAATATGAACCTATAGTTTTCTTTGCTTTCATATCAGGGTAATGGGAAAAGCTGGACACACAAAAGTGTTTGGCATAGTTCCTTCCATTTCAGTGTTTTGAATAGTTTTCAGATAATTGGAATTAGTTCTTTAAATGAATAGTATGATTCACTAGTCAATTCCTTAGGTCCTGGAAGGTCTTTTAAACACGACATTTGAGGCTGCAGTCTCACTGCTCAGTGCTAGTCTGTTCAGCTTCGATTTCCCCCTCCTCTCCCTTCCTGCATCCTTTATTTCCTCTTCCCCTCCTTTTTATTTTTCGATGTTTGTTTCCCTGCGCTGCCCAAGCTGCCTTTGAACTTAGTGCAGAATCCAGCTGACTGTAAACCTGAATCTTCCTGTCGCTTTCCTCTGTGTCCTGGAGTTACAAACTGCCATGCCTTCTTCTGTCTACTCTTGACTCAGTTTGGGTGGGCTGTGTGTGCTCATAGGCTCACCCATTTCTTCTAGGCCCTCTAGTTATTTTACCATGTGATTTGTCATAATGAATTCTAACGACCCTTTGTGTTTCTGTTCTGTCTGTTGCATTATCTTCTTCATCTTTGGTTTTATTTGAGATCTCTTTCTTTCTCTCCACCCCTCATCTAACTAGAAGTTTGTCAATCTTGTTTTTCCTATCACTCATCTTTTCCTTTAGTTTTAATTTTATTTCTTCCTGTTTCTTTTTTTCTACTAATTTTCTATCTGTTTTGTTGTGAGTCCTTGAGGTGCACCGCTGAATGCTGCTCTGAGGCTGGTTGATCACCTAACGTATGGGGTAGGACTCTACATCTCTCTCTGAGAACTGCGTTTGTTGTATCACACAGATTTTTGTGATGTTTTAACTTACTACCAGAAAACCTTTTTCCTTTTAATTTCTCCAGTTACCCATTGGTTTATATTGCTCATTGTATGTTATTTTTTTATGCTTTCCGTTCTTGTTGTTGCTATTGAATTGTAGTTTTATCCTATTGTGATCTGAGAAGATGTGTAATATTATTTCAGTTTTTAAAAATTATTAAGACTTGATGTAGGGCATAACTACTAGATGAGCTACCTAGAGAATGTTCCATGTGCTGATGAGGAGAACATGTTCTATTCTTTCAGATAAAATGCAAATGTCCATAAGGCCCGTTTGCTCCGTATGAAATCCTCAGCCAGTACCTAGAAAGCAGACTAGTCATAACTGTGTTGACTGATGTTATTCTAATCTTGCTCACAGATGCTTCTCACAATGGAGAGGATGCTTTTATATCTACTCACTTTACCATATGACCGTGGATCAGCTGTGTTGCCGTTGACTGATGAACATAACACTAACGTGTTTTCCCCATGCACTACAGTCATTGAGATGCTGTTTTTTTCAAACCACAGCACATGTCTGATACAGATCAAGATTTTAGTGTTTTTCAGTTTTCTACCAAGTCATAAAATTGAATCGTGTGACAGACAATTACTGACTAAATATGGCTACTTTAAATGAAGGTTTTATATGGGAAGTAGATGTGATATCCTCTCTGACACACCCATAGAGTTCAGTGGATAGAGGGACCTGAAGGTGGAAAGCTATGTGAACAAAGTCTTAGCAGCTAGAATGACAGTGTAGCAGAGCACATGTCTTAAATTCTAAATACCTGAATTAGAATATGGCAGTATGAATGCAAACCTGAAAAATGGAAATATTGACTTATATTTGTGGTAATTAATGTTAGCAAGGAACCCCTTACTTCAGGATTTGGGAGTGGGACATCTTCAGAGAGTTTGAGCCAGGGGTCTGCTACCTCTGCCATACATTTCAAAACAGTTGGCTTTCCTTCTTAAGGTCAGTCCTACCTTCCTTCCTTTTTTCTTCTCCTCTCCCCCTTCCTCCTCGCTTGCCTTTCCCTTTCCTAGTTCAGAGGAGGCAAGACAGTGCTTGGCATTCCATGGGATTGGCAAATGAATGTGATCATTGTGCTATCTGTCACTAGATGGAGCTCATGAGCCCAATATGGCTGTAATCCCCGTTCATCTCTGGAGAGGGGATTAATACTTGAAGAGAATTGACAACTGATTTTGAGTAACAGGATTATTAGCTGTGCCTTTAAAAAGACTGTTGAGAAACTGCAAACGTTTTTTCCACAATCTTGCCCATGTTTCGTTTTGTTTTGTTTTTGTTGCAAAAACCCTTTGAAAGCATAGTGTAGTATCAGTTATAAGTCTTATGTTCTATTTATTTATTTATTTTATTAAAAATTTCAACTTCCTCCCCTCCTCCCACTTCCCTCCCACTTCCTTCCCCCACTCCTCCTCCCCCTCCTTCTCCAGGCCAAAGAGCAGTCAGGGTTCCCTACCCTATGGGAAATCCAAGGTCCTCCCCGTTCCCCCCAGGTCCAGGAAGGTGAGCATCCAAACAGACAAGGCTCCCACAAAGCCTGTCTATGCAGTAGATTCAAAGCCCAGCACCATTGTCCTTGGCTTCTCAGTCATCCTCTACCGTCAGCCACATTCAGAGAGTCCGGTTTCATCACATGCTGCATCAGTCCCATTCCAACTGGCCTTGGTGATCTCCCATTAGATCAGTCCCACCGTCTCAGTGGGTGAATACACCCCTCGTGCTCCTGACTTCCTTGCTCACGTTCTCCCTCCTTCTGCTCCTCATTAGGACCTTGGGAGCTCAGTCTAGTGCTCCAATGTGGGTCTCTGTCTCTATCTCCGTCCATCAACAGATGAAGGTTCTTTGGCAATATACAAGATATTCATCAGTGTGGCTATAGGAGAAGGCCAGTTCAGGCACCCTTTCCTCTGCTGCTCAAGGAACAAGCTGGGAACATCTCCTTGGACACCTGGGAACCCCTCTAGAGTCAAGTCTCTTGCCAACCCTAAAATGGCTCCCTTAATTAAGATATATACGTCCCTGCTCCCACATCCACCCCTCCTTCATCCCAACCATCCCATTCGTTCTAAGTCTTTATAGTGCTGAGAGTATTCTAAATTTATTACTGTGTCATTTGTATAACTTAGGTGGAGTCTTCTGTCCCATGGCTTAGAAATTTAGCAGCTCTTCTTTCAGCCCATTCCAGGAAGAGCAGGGCCACTTTACTGTTGTTACAAGTGGCTTTCAGTGTCACACGTGTGCTTACCTTTATTTCCAACTCCATGTGGTGTGAGGTAACTAGAGGCCAGGATGGGATTTTCTTTATCACAGTCATCAGAGGTAAGAAGCTAGAATCTAGTAAGAGGTGATAAAGGGGGATGGCTCCTCTCCAGACTGCCTTTGCTCTGAGCTTTTGATGGGCAGGTGATAGATAGGCAGTGGGAGGGCAGAGGAATGCTTTCCAAACCTTAAAGAAGATTCACTTAACTCATAGTCTGTGATCCAGACATATGTGGACAAGATCTGATCTAATGTTTCTGTCTTTCTACCACAGCACGTGCCCTTATAGTCGGCCTCCTTTTGGCTATGGGAATTTTCCAAGTTCAATGCCAGAATGTCTTGGTTACTATGAAGACAGGTACCAAAAGCATGAGGCTATCTTTTCAGCTTTGAATAGAGACTATCCTTTCAGAGACTACCCAGACGAGCACACACACAGTGAAGATTCTCGGAGCTGTGAGAGCGCGGACGGGCCCCCGTACTACAACAGCCACGGGCACAGTGGGGAAGAGTACTTGAATCCCATGCCTCCACTGGACATTGGAGCCCTGGAGAATGTCTTCACAGCCCCAGCGTCTGCTCCCTCTGGTGTCCAGCAAGTCAATGTCACTGACAGTGATGAGGAGGAAGAAGAAAAAGTGCTCAGGAATTTATAATTTAAAACAAATATGCACAGAAAATAAACATTTCTTAAAATATATTCTGGGTCAGTTGGTGTGAGAAAAAAAAGCCTAGGATGCTTTGCTGTGAGTTCTCAGCCGTGATCTGAGGAGTCGGAACCAAATGCCATTGTGTCTTCCTAAGTTCTCGTTAGTGATCCTGGACTCCCGATGCCTCAGCATAGGGACGGTAAAATCTAAAGTAGTTATTTCATGGCTGAAATTTGCACCAACATGTGATAGCATTACTTTATCTCGGAACATTTGAAATACAGAAAGCTCCCGGTGGCGTGTGAGGACACACATGTGAGTATATATCTGGCATGGCAAGTGTGATTAGCATTTTATCTCAGGGTACATTTATTTTTCGGAGAAATTTTACTGTTTATATATTTATGGGTGTTGTCAGTTTTTATGTAACATTTTGAAAATATTTTGATAACTTGTAGATGTGAACCAGAGCTCAGTTGCTAAATTTAATTTACACTAATAACCAATTGTAGTTGAAAATGTATCTTAATGACACCTGGGCAGTTCCTTCAGATATAGTCATTTCTGTTACTGAACATTTTATCATCATTTTAACTATCTTTCCTATTTGGTATGCATTGTTATATTGTTGTTGTAACTAAATAAACAGATGAAAACACTCTTGTTAAATGTTTTCTGTTGAGAGGAGGGCGAGGAGCACTGGGAGTGCTGGTCAGCTGTGGTTAGCTCTGTGCTCTGTGCAGGCATTTCTGCTCAGCAACAGACTCCTGTGGTCTGTGGATTATGTGTCATTGCCGCGACAAAATACCTGAGAAAAGCACCTTAAGGAAGGAAAGGTTTATTTTGCCTCGTTGTTTGATAGTCGGGTTCATCAGGGGAGCATGGCAACTGGACCATGAGGTGGCTGCTCACATTCCGTCTGTGCTCGGGAAGCTCAGATGAATGCTGATGCTGAGTTTGCGTCTTCCTTATCAGTCAAAGACCACGTCCCATGGGGTGATACCATCCACATTTAGAGTGCATTGTCCCATGTCAGTTAACCTGATCTAGAAACTTCCTCAGACATGCCAAGAAATTTGTCTCATAGGTGATTCTAGATCCTGTTAGTTTAACAATAAATGTAAACCATCCCTGTTTGCATGAGATTTGAAGTTGTACCACCAAAAATGTGTATGTATTCTAAGTCTGTTTTGAAAGTTGACATATGATTTAAACTCTCACCCAAGCGAATATTGTGTTCATCTGACTTGATGACCATGGAATTTACTTACAGTCATGCAAACTTAACTCACAATGAGCAACAAAAACTCCATTGTGATGTCACATCCTCCCCAGCATTCATTTGTGAATAAGGGATAGAGTAAGAACCACCAGAGTCAAGACCATTTTAAAAGGTGTCTGCCTACAAGGAAGAAAATGAATTGTTGGGAAACTGCACTTTGATAATTTTTATTTTCATATTTGATGTTCTTTTTTGTGTGTGTGCCACCCCGCATGCAGTCATGGAGACCAGAGGATGGCATGGGTGCCTTCTTTAATCACCCTCTCACTGAGCCCGAGCACACTGTTTTACGAGATCCACCTGTTTCCACCTCACCCAGTTCTGGCTTACAGATGTGCACCACTGTGCCTAGCTTTTACATGGATGCCGAGGATCTGAACTCAGGCCCTGAGTTTATCTCCCGAGCCCACAAGTCTGATACTCTTTAAGTGCTCAGCACAGATAACTTTGATATAAAGAACAAATCTTGAATTTCCTAGATGATTAGATATCATGTTATTTTATATGTGAACTAGAGGAACATTATTTACATACTTAATGTCTGCTTAGGCAGTTAATGTTTAGGAGAAATGTATGCAACAATTTGACCATTTTTATCCCATCTCATTTAAGAGGCCTTCGTCATAGACTTACCCTACAGACAGACTGGTTGAGGAAATGACTGTAAAACAGCAGAACAGTGAAGGTCACACCTAACCATTTCCTAATTACCTGTTTTCAGGGTAGCCTTTCACTTCTGACTTCTTCCATAGCTTTTTAAAAAAAGAATTGTTTAGTGTGTGTGTGTGTGTGTGTGTGTGTGTGTGTGTGTGCCATGCCAGTGGACTCCAGAAGAGGGCGTAGGATCTCATGGAGCTGAAGTTAGAAGAGACTATGACCCATCCAACATGGGTTCTGGGAATTGAACTTGGGTCCTCCGGTAGAGCAGAAAGTGCTCTGGCTCACTGAGCCATGGCCCCACCCCTTCTAGGCTTGTTCAGTAGCTAGGGCTAGGTACTCTCTTAATCACCTGGCATCATGCTGGCATCAGAAGTCAGGAGTTCAGGTCGTTTATAGATCCACAGCATAAGTTGGACTAGAAACCTGCTTATTTCTTACTTAGGGAAGACCAACCACAGATAATCCCGCATGCCTACAAGGTACCCATTATCAGCTTTTAAACCACTGACTGGAGATCTAAGATGGGACAAACCTCCCCCAAGGGCATCTGCTCCTCATCAGAGTGGAAAATCTCAATGCTCCAAACCACAAGTAGTTTCTAACAGTCCCCTTGTCTCGTTTGTTCCTATATTAAGTTGGACTTCGTAGAATTTATTAGACAAGTTGTCTCCTTTTCATAGTGTTTTGTAATGTCAGTATGTTTCAGATGTCACCCAAAGTGCTCCATACTCTAGACATAGCTGCTCGAAGCGTTTACCAATTAAAAGCCAGTTTCACTGCAAGGAGTTGGAAAAGGTGTCTCTATGAGAAGCCGAGTTAGGGGAGAGAGCAAGGTTTCTCTGGATTAAGTCCCAAGCGGTGTAGATGTTCTCACTGAATCTGGTCAAACAACGTTGGAAGCTGGTGCTGTGGCCCCCTTTGAAGTGAGCAATGTTCTTTATCGTCATAATGTCACAAGATTATACTATCTCAGGGTGCACCTACCCTGCTTGAGACCCCTTTTTGGTCTTTACCTCCCGACACCACCCAGGGCACCCTGTGGGAAATGCTGCCAAATGACAACTGGTGGTTTTGGTTTGTAAACATGACACGTGGTTTCCCACACTGGTTACCTTAAGTGCTTTACTAAACAAAAACAGTTTCTGAATAAACTGCTCTTTTTAATTATGTCTAACAGTCCTAAAAGGCTAAAGAATTGAAACTTGTAATTGTTGTAATTCACTGCTAGCTATTAAACTTTTTTTAATGAATGGTGACAGTGTGTCCAAGAATTCATGGAAGCAAATGTGCCGATACACAACATGCTTCTCCTGTCAAGCAGCTGTCAGGAGAGCTCTGCCTGGGCTGAGTCGGAGCTACATTTTTCATGTCTAAGAAAATCGTACTAGGGTAAGTTCACTGTACAGAACGAAGAGTGTCTTAGGACATTTTCATGCTCCGCTATCCTCTCCTCCCCCCATTTTAATGTCTCCCTTCTTTCATGCAGTTCTCTCTCTCTCTCTCTCTCTCTCTCTCTCTCTCTCTCTCTCTCTCTCTGAATCTAGGTTCCACATACGATTGCAAATGTGACATTTGTCTCTGAATCTGGCTTATTTTGCTTAATACAGTGTTTTCCCATTCATCCATCTTTCTGTGGATGTTATACTTTCATTCTTCTTTACATCTGAATAAAACTTTATTGTAGGACAACTGAACAGCTCTGCGGGTCAGATCCCTTGCCTCAGAGCCTACAGATCTGAGTTCCAGCCCCAGGACTCTCATGGGAGCGGACATCCGGACAGAGTCTGTACCTCACTTCTTGTGACTCAGCTATGAACCCTGACCTTGTCTCTAGACACCGCTGAGAGCACAAATGACCCCAGGTGCCTGTTAAAAGTGCCACTGTTCCTTATGGAGAGGATTCTCTGTTCAGCTGAGTATGGCAAGCATGCATTTTTGTAGTGGTAATCTGCATTTTTTGAATAAGCTTAGTTAGCAGTTCTTACTTGTGCCTGCCATTGACACTGCATCGAGATTGTTTCTAAAACCATCTAGCCACATCAAAGGTTGCCTTCAGAAGAGAGAGAGAAGGCATCAGTGTATCCTATGATCATTTTCATTTTGTAACACTTTCCTAGTTTCTTTGAGGAAAACTCCAGGTGATCTCTCATTTTAACAAACCAAAAAGAGAATTTTCTCTGTGTGTGGGTATGAAGTTGAAACTGAGTGGAAGTTACTGTGGACATGGGACCTGAGTGGCTGGGGCACATAGAGTCACCCCAGGTGCAGTCTGTGTCATGAAGGGCAGTGAGCATCTCTTGTGGATGACCGCCCCAGTTCCTCGTGAGCAGTGTGTTGTCCTTCTCCTGTCTAATCCCAGCTCATTCCTCAGGTCTCAGTTTACACATACCCCAGCTGTTACCAGTGACAACAACCCTTTCCCTTTCTGGTAACAGAACCCTAAAATTTGATTGTATATGGCCATTCTTAAAAACACTTTATTTCACCTCTTGAAGCAGGGTGTGGTCAAGTACCCAAGGCCTGAACTCCTAAGACAACCAGGGATGTCCCCAAAAATGTCGTTAAAGGGAGATGGCATTGCTATTCTTTGCTCCTGTGGCCTTTCTGCTAACAGTAATATGGTAGTGATGGCTGGAATCTCAGCAACCATTGTGGATTGTCTAGGTGTCATTCTGAAGATGGTAAAAAGACAAGGCTAGCACCATACCTGGGCAGGATTGTTAACACTGTATGAAAGCAAAAGAAACATCTAGCCACACCAATCCACAACCATTTGGTTTTCTCTGTCACGTGAAGCTGAACCAGATTTTCCCTAATGTAGGCTTTTGTCCTTCAGAAAGCGTGCATAAGCCCTCACAGGCTGAGCCAGGTTCTTGCTTTACGTTCCTATAAGGTCTGGGTGTGCATCTCCCACTAGCATCTTAGCGCCTTTGTGATCAACCAGGACCAATGCATTATACAGACTAGAAAGACACGTGTGGATGGGCAGAGCAACAGATGCAGCCTTGCATTCTTAGCCTCACGATGAGCCAATGAATTTCATGGGTCAGTTGGCAAGCAGTGCTCCCCATGGCTGCCATTAGCATTACTAGGTGTCTCTAAATGA